CCCTAGCTAGGCTAAGGGTAAGACCTTTCTTTTCCTCCTTCTCCTTTCAATCTTCTCTCCTCTCCTTTCCTCTCAATCATTCTGGACCAAGGCTTATATAGCCAAGGTCACCTGACATTTAGTAAGTAATAAATATAAATGTAAACAGTGAATCATCAGTGACATACTTGCACATCCTGTTCAGGATGGCAGACGGTCGATGTACACAAAACTGGGGATTAACAATTAGGATTAGCATCTTATAAATAACAGCAATTAAATGTTTCAAGGCATATAGATGTCATGGCTCCAGGGTAATGAGCCTTTGCAATCAAATGTTCTTCAGACAATGGGTGTCGTAAATCAGTCACCATGACACCTCTCTGATCTGAAAACCACACACATGGTTCCTTGCAATCAGCCAATCAAGCTCGACAGGAGTGAGTGAAGTATTTATACCAACATATTTGATTTCTCTGAACACAAAATGACCAGTTCTGAATGTAAATAATAAAGGCTGCACCAGCATATTGTGGATATCTTATACCATCCATGTAGTTTCTGAGTGCCATTTCATCTACAACCATTAAAGGAATATTAGTTATGTTTTTGTGTCCAGTTTCTTTTCTTTTGCACAAATTGAAATTTCCTGATCAAGGTGGTAAAAACATTGAGCCAAATTGTTTTAGAAAGCTGACATTTGACTGGCTCAAGTACCCACACATCCTTCATTAATGGATCCGGAGGTCAAAGTTCACTCAGGGTTCACCCGATGACCTTCCAAGCTTTTGTCAGAACTTCAAGCAGAGTGGTATCGTTATGGAGCAAGAATATCTCATCATAATTAGATTGAGTCAAGGGCTTTGGATGTATGTGAGGTGTACACTAATGGTCTGAAAAAGTAAATTAAAATCCCAAAAAAATTTGATTAAGATATATGAACATCACTTAAAGTTAATTTAATTTCCTAACTGAATTTCTTTCTCCAAGGTGCAATTAAATTACATGAAGTAATTATCACCTAACAACATAATTATCATTTTTAAACCATCCCTCACTCCCATGTTTTAATATGGTGTTGACTTATCACAAGCTAAGGTCAAGGTTGTTGAGTTTGTAATGAGCAGGTCATCGTGACCTTACCAAGGTCAACTCGACATTTGTTCATATCTGATTTATATGCATGTATTGCAAGTTGGGAACCTGATACAGCACACTAGGATTTGTATTCAAAACTTACATCTTTTGTGTAACGCCATCAGACTGAGGGCGAGTTATTATCTTCAGACGAAGACAGATGGGCACAAAAGGTCTAGTGTTATATGTTTGAAAACATTTACTGTCTGAATTTGTTAACAGCATTTTGCTGTTGTCAGCCGTATTTAAGCCATACAATGTTAGCCAGTCAATAATATAGTTTGGGCAAAGTATGATATACAATAACCAGGTTTTGTTTAATGCAGCATTTCGCATTATATTCTAGGCAAATGATGGCGGTCTGTAAACAGTCAAGTCTGGACCAGATATTACAGTGATTGACATCATGAACATCGATCAACTTTATTGGGATACAGTGACTCCGTACCGTTTAGTCACCTCTTCACACATTTTGGCTACCTAATTATCATGTTAGTCCGCATTGGGAACTGGGGATGTATTCTGTCCTGGAATCCCTACAGAGACAAGCATTGGAAACTGGGGATCTTTTCTGTCCTGGAATCCTACAGAGACAAGCATTGGAAACTGGGGATCTTTTCTGTCCTGGAATCCTACAGAGACAAGCATGGGGTACTGGGGATCTATTCTGCCCTGGAAACCCTACAGAGACAAGCATGGGGTACTGGGGACCTATTCTGCCCTGGAAACCCTACAGAGACAAGCATTGGAAACTGGGGATCTTTTCTGTCCTGGAATCCTACAGAGACAAACATGGAGTACTGTGTTATTTTCTGCTATAGATTTCCTACAAGGAACATTAGATTGAAATAACATGTCACAATGCTTGCTGTGACGTCACTAATTAAAGTTTTACAAACTGATTGATCCATGTTCCTGTACACCCATTTACTGATGAAGTACATGAAATCTGGAAATCTGGAGTCTATTACTAAGACATAAATTATGGAGCAATGCAAACAACTGAATCGTGAGATACTGATATATTTATTATGGGGTGGGGAGGGTCACAGCAGACATGAAACAGTCAAGGAGAGGGTTATGAACTAAGTAATTTAATTGATGATGAAGTTGGAGATTTTACAAGTGCTTCCGATGTAACCAATTTTGCACAATGTTTCTTTATGGCCTTTACATAAATGTCTGATTTTCATGACAACAACGGCAATCACTTTGGAAGGTAATAATGAAAGGGTATATGGTCAGAAAGAGGGTATATGGTCAGAAAGAGGGTACCTTTGTGAAACACCAATCAACAAAGTAGTATACAATCTACATGCTCAACATTTGCAAATCTAACAATATCATACCAACATTTGATCTTTGATCAAACTGACTTTGTTAATGATCCATCAATCAATGATGGTCAGTACTAAATGTCTCGTGCAATCATGCCAAGGTAATGAGCCATGTTTCACAGAGCAATATCAGTGTGATGAGATTAAGACAACGTTAACAGTATTCCAGTTATATCACAGCGAGTCAGCTTTACATGAGAGGAAAGCCCCAAGTGGTGCAGGTCTTTGACAGTTTTAACTTTGGCGAAACCCACAAGCACGGGTACGGTGCTGACAAACCTTGAAACAATTCAGGCGATTCTGGGATTCAAACCCACATTCACAGGATTCTGGCAAGTCTAAGGGAAGCAACTCTGCACAGAGAATTACAGTTCTTTAGTTCCCTGTATTATTGCTCTGATTGTACTAAGATACTGAGTTTCAACAATCATAAATGCATGATCACTTCAACAAGCACTGCGACAGCTACAACTGATTGCCTTGTGGGATTTGACTGATTCCTACAGCTTCTAACTACAACGCATGCTATTGAACATTCTCGCAAACCTGTCAGGCAAAACATGGTTAGTAAACACAGGAGTCGATGCAGATACTGACAACAAACTTGGTCAAAACAAAGTAGTCAACAGGGATTAGTTAAAACTGGAAACAAAAAATTGAAGTAAAATGTTTCTAACTATCTACTCTTGGTTGCACAGTATGAGCAAAGAAACAGCATCGTATATCATTATATATTTGTTTAAAGATATCCTTGTTTTGATCGTTTGTTGTTTAACACAGCGCTATTCCAGCTATATGATGGTGGCATGTAAATAATCAAGTACCGTATTCGACGTAATAAGCGCCCAGGGCGCTCTCAAAATTAGAAATAGGGGGCTCTTATTCGAATATTATTTTGGTGGAGAAAAACAGAATTGAAAGATAAATTTCTTGGTTTATGCTGACAGCCTGAAATGTTTATATACGACAGATATATTTTTCCAGAATTTAATTGCCCATAATTGAGGGTGCATATAGCACACGAGTGCATATTATACCCGAATAAATAAGTCTTATCTACATTGATCAATCGAAAGGGGTGCTAATTGGGATTGTTCACTGGCCAATATATTAGCAAATATCGCCGTGGGCGCTTATTAGAGTGGGGCGCTTATTACGTCGAATACGGGATATTACTGACTAACTACCATCTGGATTCCATGACATGCAATCAACCAAGAAACTGAGTCTGGACAACTGTTCCAATAAGTCGTCTCATTCAACCAATATGGGTTGCTGGGGTCCATTTCGAACCCGTTCTTCCCACGGGGTGTTCATAGGAATAACCTTAATGCTCAGATGGTTTGATGCAGGAAAATACAGAGCTTGATTTTTAAGGATCTGGTAATATCTCTCTGCTGAGAGAATAAGTCATTCTGTTGAGTTGGCGTAATCAATGCGAGCTTGACTCCTTGTTATATAGTCCCTCGTCTCATTATTCATGTTGTTTGATGCAGTGAGGAGAGTTTCAGAGACCTAACAGTATCTTTGTAAATACGTCGGTGCCTTTAGCATGCTTGATGCATTGTGGTGCAGTGCTTGGACATTTCAATGACCAAACCACAAATTTCCCAGATCCTAGTGCTTAGATACTTGGTGCAATTCAGCACTGCGCAAATGTTTTTAAAACTGAGCAAAAACCTGTCTAAAGGTCTTCATGCAAAGATTCTTGTGCTGTGCTCATTTTGTTTCAAAGACCGAGTAATATCTTTGTTTAAGTCTTAGTGTTAAGATACTGGATGCAATATGCTCTATCTTCACTAGATACAAGCTAATGTACGTATGCAGAACACATAGAAACTGTATATTATTCACCTACAGTAGGGAACAGGCAGATCAAATGTTAGTGACAGACTGGGTGTTAGCATGTGGATCTGGTATCAGTGCTAAAAGACAGGTGAAATGTTGTACCGTATTTTCTAGAGTATAGTGCGCACTCAAGTATAATTTGCATTCCCCTCTAGCAGATTCAGTATTTTGGAAAAAAAGAAATTTCGAATATATTATCGTCAAACTACAACAAATATGACTTTAATCGAGTCAAATTATCGCATTAATGATATATTTATCTATTCTCTGTCAACTAAAGTTTATTTCAAGGTGTCAATAGTGGTAATCTGACCGTGGTTGCTGTTGATAACGGTGAGTTGTGCGATCTTCGCTTCACACAGAATTTCACCAAAATTAATTACAACAATATAAAAAGAATTTTGAATAAAATTAATGAAATGAGTTACAATCAGAAGTCCAGATATACAATGAACTCTTTTAATAACCAGACAGTGTAATTACACAATTAATTTGCATACTTCAGTACAGATTTCTTGACATGGTGTTTCTGGTGTTGCGTGCTCACGGTAAACGTCTTCGAGTTGGGGGAAAAATCATCAAAACTCATTAAGGCATGAATAATGGGCACCCCCTTCTACACTGCTGTGTTTGTTGGGAAAAAAAGTGTGCACTATACTCAAGAAAATATGGTAATGCTAATTGATTTCCAGCACTTACTTCTGTGTAGAAGGTTGATTTCACTTTCTCCTCTCGTGAATCTGTCTGTTTAAATATATAAATAACTTACCCCAACTCTAAACACAAGACTATATGCATCATTTCAGAGTAGATTAAACTCAGTATGTTCTTCGTATGTGGTAAGTGCCCCAAATGCTAGGACAACAGCTTTTTGTAAATATGTTCCACATTTATAACCAACTTCCCTTGGTTGACAGATGATCAATCAAGTGTTATAATGCGTTTTACAGGTGCCCCATAATGATGTGTAACAGGTGCGTTTTACAGGTGCCCCATAATGATGTGTAACAGGTGTGTTTTACAGGTGCCCCATCATGATGTGTCACAAGTGCATGTTACAGGTGCCCCATCATGATGTGTAACAGGTGTGTGTTACAGGTGCCCCATCATGATGTGTCACAGGTGCGTGTTACAGGTGCCCCATCATGATGTGTAACAGGTGCGTTTTACAGGTGCCCCATCATGATGTGTAACAGGTGTGTTTTACAGGTGCCCCATCATGATGTGTAACAGGTGCGTGTTACAGGTGCCCCATCATGATGTGTCACAGGTGTGTGTTACAGGTGCCCCATCATGATGTGTCACAGGTGCGTGTTACAGGTGCCCCATCATGATGTGTAACAGGTGCGTTTTACAGGTGCCCCATCATGATGTGTAACAGGTGTGTTTTACAGGTGCCCCATCATGATGTGTAACAGGTGCGTGTTACAGGTGCCCCATCATGATGTGTAACAGGTGTGTGTTACAGGTGCCCCATCATGATGTGTCACAGGTGCATGTTACAGGTGCCCCATCATGATGTGTAACAGGTGCGTTTTACAGGTGCCCCATCATGATGTGTAACAGGTGTGTTTTACAGGTGCCCCATCGTGATGTGTAACAGGTGCGTGTTACAGGTGCCCCATCGTGATGTGTCACAAGTGCATGTTACAGGTGCCCCATCATGATGTGTCACAGGTACATGTTACAGGTACCCCATCAGGATGTGTCACAAGTGCATGTTACAGGTGCCCCATCATGATGTGTCACAGGTGCATGTTACAGGTGCCCCATAATGATGTGTCACAAGTGCATGTTACAGGTGCCCCATCATGATGTGTCACAGGTGCATGTTACAGGTGCCCCATCATGATGTGTCACAGGTGCATGTTACAGATGCCCCATAATGATGTGTCACAAGTGCATGTTACAGGTGCCCCATCATGATGTGTAACAGGTGCGTGTTACAGGTGCCCCATAATGATGTGTCACAGGTGCATGTTACAGGTGCCCCATAATGATGTGTCACAAGTGCATGTTACAGGTGCCCCATCATGATGTGTAACAGGTGCGTGTTACAGGTGCCCCATCATGATGTGTCACAGGTGCATGTTACAGGTGCCCCATAATGATGTGTCACAAGTGCATGTTACAGGTGCCCCATCATGATGTGTAACAGGTGCGTGTTACAGGTGCCCCATAATGATGTGTCACAGGTGCATGTTACAGGTGCCCCATAATGATGTGTCACAAGTGCATGTTACAGGTGCCCCATCATGATGTGTAACAGGTGCATGTTACAGGTGCCCCATAATGATGTGTCACAGGTGCATGTTACAGGTGCCCCATCATGATGTGTCACAAGTGCATGTTACAGGTGCCCCATCATGATGTGTAACAGGTGCGTGTTACAGGTGCCCCATCGTGATGTGTCACAGAGGCATGTTACAGGTGCCCCATCATGATGTTACAGGTGCCCCATCATGATGTGTTACAGGTGCATGTTACAGGTGCATGTTACAGGTGCCCCATCATGATGTGTCACAGATGCATGTTACAGGTGCCCCATCATGATGTGTCACAGAGGCATGTTACAGGTGCCCCATCATGATGTTACAGGTGCCCCATCATGATGTGTTACAGGTGCATGTTACAGGTACCCAATCAGGATCTGTCACAAGTGCATGTTACAGGTGCCCCATCATGATGTGTCACAGATGTATGTTACAGGTGCCACATCAGGATGTGTCACAAGTGCATGTTACAGGTGCCCCATCATGATGTGTTACAGATGTATGTTACAGGTGCCTCATCAGGATGTGTCACAGGTGCGTGTTACAGGTGCCCCATCAGGATGTGTCACAAGTGTATGTTACAGGTGCCCCATCATGATGTGTCACAAGTGCATGTTACAGGTGCCCCATAATGATGTGTCACAAGTGCATGTTACAGGTGCCCCATAATGATGTGTCACAAGTGCATGTTACAGGTGCCTCATCAGGATGTGTCACAGGTGTATGTTACAGGTGCCCCACAATGATGTGTCACAGATGCATGTTACAGGTGCCCCATCATGATGTGTCACAGATGCATGTTACAGGTGCCCAATCATGATGTGTCACAGGTGCATGGTACAGGTGCCCCACCATGTGTCACAGGTGCATGGTACAGGTGCCCCACCATGTGTCACAGGTGCATGTTACAGGTGCCCCACCATGTATCACAGGTGCATGGTACAGGTGCATGTTACTGGTGCCCCACCATGATGTGTCACAGGTGCATGGTACAGGTGCCCCACCATGTGTCACAGGTGCATGGTACAGGTGCCCCACCATGTGTCACAGGTGCATGTTACAGGTGCCCCACCATGTATCACAGGTGCATGGTACAGGTGCATGTTACAGGTGCCCCACCATGATGTGTCACAGGTGCATGGTACAGGTGCATGTTACTGGTGCCCCATCATGATGTGTATCAGGTGCATGTTACAGGTGCCCCACAGGTGCCCCACCATGATTTGTCACAGGTGCATGGTACAGGTGCCCCACCATGTGTCACAGGTGCATGTTACAGGTGCCCCACCATGATGTGTCACAGGTGCATGGTACAGGTGCATGTTACAGGTGCCCCATAATGATGTGTCAAAGGTGTATGTTACAGGTGCCCGATCATGATGTGTCACAGGTGCATGTTACAGATGCATGTTACAGCTGCCTTAAACAGTTGACAGAAGTGATCAGAAAAAAGGTTAGAGAAAAAGAATATAGTAGGGAAAAAGGGAAAACCACAACCATCATCATCATCATCATCATTTTCCATGCTAACAAACTCACAAAACTTCACATATAACTATCAATTTCATCATCAGACACTGTCACATGATATATATGTGTCTGTGAGTGGTGAAATACTTGTTGATGTTGTATAACACTGTTATACCACCACTCCCACCTCACACCAGCCCCATATCCCCACACCTCCTACACAAAAACAGATGAATCATCAATATCACACAGCATCAGGACAGGAGAAGTACCAGGAATTTCACATTCAACACCCCCACCAACCCCACCCTCACCCCCATGTCTAGCAAACTCCCCTCAGCCTGTGTCTCCAGCATAAGTCCCCCTGTGTGCATGGGCACTCCACAAAATAACCTTATCAGCCATCAGACAATCCCCCAATCAGACAACAGAAACCTCAATAACACTGTGAGATGACACAGTAGAGGGGTGGAACATTTTCTGTGTTTGACTCACAAGGGTTTTTGTCTTGTTTACAAGTTTGAAATGTTAATATCGATGTCATGTCGCTCGTAAACAATGGACTTAACAGTGCAGTGGCTGTACCAGTGACTGTGGTGGGAATCTGGCTGAGAGTCTCAAGGACCTGAAGGAAACAGGGAAATGGGCGGAGAGCCCTGCACAATGCCTTGAGTGGAATACTCCCCAGGGTATGTGAGGTATGCTCGGCTGATCCCATCCACTAATGTAAAGGTGAATTGTATGCATTCACAGAGCCCACGTAAGAAATCACATTTGACATTTTTGTTAATACCAGAGTTCGTAATATCACAGCTAAATTACATTGGCATTCATACACAATTTTGGTAATATTAGAGCTAAATCGTGTTTGGGTTTTTACCACAGTCGGCAATATTACAGCTATATCAAATTGGGGTTGATATCATAGTTAGCAATATTACAGTTATATCATATTGGGGTTGATATCACAGTTGGCAATATTACAGCTATATCAAATTGGGGTTGATATCACAGTTGGCAATATTACAGCTATATCAAATTGGGCTTGAAATCATAGTTGCAATATAACAGTTATATCATATTGGGGTTGATATCACAGTAAGCAATATTACAGTTATATCATATTGGGGTTGATATCATAGTTAGCAATATAACAGCTATATTACATTAGGGTTTATGCCATATTCAGCAATATTACAGCTATATCACATTGGGGTTGATACCACTCGGCAATATTACAGTTATATCAAATTGGGGTTGATATCATAGTCTGCAATATAACAGCTATATCACATTGGGGTTGATACCACAGTTGGCAATATTACAGCTATATCAAATTGGGGTTGATATCATAGTCAGCAATATTACAGTTATATCACATTGGGGTTGATACCACAGTTGGCAATATTACAGCTATATCAAATTGGGGTTGATATACCAATCGGCAATATTACAGCTATATCACATTGGGGCTTATACCACAGTTGGCAATATTACAGCTATATCACATTGGGGTTGATATCACAGTCAGCAATATAACAGCTACATCACATTGCGGTTATCACAGTCAGCAATATTACAGCTATACCACATTGCGGTTATCACAGTCAGCAATATTACAGCTATATCACATTGCGGTTATCACAGTCAGCAATATTACAGTAATATCACATTGCGGTTGATATCATAGTCAGCATTATTACAATGATAATGGCACACAGAAACACCATATCAGCTCCAGTCAAATGTTGGCCTTCCCAACTACAAGTCAATCTGTCCACCATTGTGGACACCCAATCCCCAGTGTCCCCAGCCAGTCAATACCCTGAGGCCAACTCTGCCCATAGGGAAAGTTGTACAGTGCAGCATCAGGCAATTACATGTTTTAAGTTGGTTTATGGAATTTGGGATTGTTCTCACAATGTCAAAGGATGAATTATTTTTAAAACTGAATTAATGCCCCTCTACTGCACTCATCAGGCATATATATATGTTGCCATT